ACAAGAGTGTCCCACAAGAGTGTCCCGTAAGAGTGTCCCACAAGAGTTTCCTACAAGAGTGACCCACAAGAGTGTGCCACAAGAGTGTCCTACAAGTTGTGTCATCTGGACATATGTAGCTTTTCGAACGTGTTTGCATTCGGGTTCGTGGGCTCCATCTTGTTCAAAGGGTCACCTAGTGGGTCACCTTGGATTAGAGGCCTCGGACGAGCGAACTGTTTTGGAAGCATGGACATCCGACTGCCCGCAAGCATTGCCCTTTGTACAAATTCCTAGGCCACTCATGTGGCCCAATAGATGATCATGTAGGCTTTTCAGACCTGTAGGTTAGCCAGTTTGCGACACCAGGCTTGCTTGACATGAGCATGTCCTTGTTTGACAGATTACTTCCGAGAGTTTTCTGAAGACATGTGAAACCATGTCGTTTTGTTCAGTACCATGCTTGAGTAGAGAGAACATTGTACATAAAAAGCCAAGTTTCTGGGAGTAGTCCCTTTCCGCCCATGTTCTACTTATCCGGATCATTGCCAGGACCTTCATGGACCTTCCAATATGTGTTTGGACTTCAACGAGTGCCTTCTTTTCACCATAACACGGATCTTGCTTCGGTACTTTCTCGCAGAAAACCCGATTGCAGCCGATCGGTGTTTCGACGTCCATCGACCCATCTAGCCTCAAAAACACCGTGTCGAGCCCTTTCGGCCAGCTGTTTGGGACAGAATCCTCCCATGAGTGATGTCCATGCAATGAAGCCTCACATCAGCATATGTGGACAGAATCCTCCCCACATCTCTCCATGCTTTTCCTCGTCACGGGGTGACCTCCAATCGGGACCCAAAGGCACAAGGGCTACGTGAAGCTTCGGGAAAAGCAGTGCCTCGGCGCTGCGGTGGTTTGGGACACGCTTTCCTTTCAGCAGGGCCCAGGGAAGATCTGACAAAAAGGTGTAACAACATGTAAAAACATAGAGCTCAGTCAGATTGTTTGGTGAAATCTCTTGGACATGTCCGTGGTTTTTTGGAGCTGCCTTCTGTCATACTTTACTGATGCTTGACCATCTGGAGTGTGGCTACTAAAGTACGGACCGGTGGCCAGGGTGATGATTGCTTATTTGGGCACTGGTGCTTCATTTCTTCATCCCGCAGTGGTTCAACATTGATGTACCCATCTTGCAATTGGTCACCCAATGGTGGAAACTCTGAAGGTGTGATTGCGTAAGCGCAAGCATCTAAGTGCAAGCATTACTTTTGTATAGCTTTGTTTCTTCAAGAGAGCGCCGGTGAGAAAGCCTGTCAGCTTGAAAAGGCAAAGCGGAAAGTTTAGGACATTTGCAAATTGATGTATGTAGTTATATGTAGTTATACAGTACGGGTCAGTGTCGAATTGTCCCCATAGCGGTTCACTGTGATCTTTGGACTCACATATGGTATCAAGTGAAGCCAGCTGGGAAAGCCAGCCAACTTCAAGACCTAGAGGCTCAAGTACCTCCTGAACTTGGATTGAAGCTATGAGTCTTTTGGAAGCTCAAGTACTGGAGGCGAGCGGCGCTTCAGCCCCGGTTTTCGTCTCACACTCCCGCACTGTAGGTTGGTTGACCACTGTGACTTCTGTGACTTCCGGTTTACACAACCCTTAGGCCTTGTTGAAGCCCCCCGTCCTTTTGGAATGTGCCGCGTCAGCTTACCCAGTCACGTTGCCGATGTTGCTCCGAAACCGAGGATCGAGTATGAAAAGATCATCAAAGAACGCCCTGAGCTTCCGGAAGACCGGGAAGAGAAGGAGACCAAAAGCTTTGGAAACACCTTTTCTGGTAGGAAAAAGGCCAGATGTTGGATCACTAGAAGAACAACATCAATCTTAAAGCATTCATAATATGATCTATGTGCCATTTGCTCTGACTCTGGTTGCCATCATGAACCCCTTTGTCACCCCTGTTGCCAGCAGTGTTTGGAAGATCGATGAAGATCGGCTCTCAGGGCCTACTAAAACTAAGATTCCATGGTCCTAGCTGTCCAAGACTGTTAATGAAAGAGGGTTCACGGGTTTTGGTCGAATATCAACTCCTTGGTAGCATATGTAAACTACAATG